TTTCTAGAATTATTCCCCTTGATCTTTGAATTTATTTTAACAAATGTTATTTTTTACTATAACTTAAAACATGATTGTACATAATTGATTTTTGTGTCGCCATATAGGCGACATATAGGGATCACTTCTCCGTTGTCTGTCTGTCTGTCCGTCACAAAACTTGTCCGAACTACTTCTCATAAACTACTGGTGCAATTTCATCCAAAATTTACAGGAATGATCAGTACCAAGTCTAGTTGTGCATATTAGCAGAATTTTCCAGTTCAATGATTTTTGTCAGAGTTATGGCCCTTTAATAATTTTAATTTTAAAGTTTGTCTGGACAACTTCTCTTTTACCACTAATGCAATTTCAATGAAACTTTACAGGATTGATCTGTCGCTCAAGTCCTTCGCATATTGCACGGGTTATCTGGTTGAATGATTTTTGGCCGAGTTATGGCCCTTTGACAATAGGTGTTTTCTGTGAGTTGCCAGATACGCCAAAGCTTGTCCAGACTACTCCTCATAAACTACTGGTGCAATTTTATCCAAACTTTACAGGAATGATCAGTACCAAGTCTAGTTGTGCACTGTCCGTCTGTCTGTCAGTCTGTCACAAAATTTGTCCCAACATGAAATTGGCCATCATTAGGCGACACATGTGATTACTGATCGCTCTTGTTCTTTCATAATTTTGTCCTCCTTATTTTATTAGTCGAGCTTGGCTGTCTCCTGTGACAGCTCTTGTTATTGTATTAAACAATTATGCTTCATTCAGTTTTACATAAGAAACAATTATAGTTGTATACCAGGTAAAGCATATTTGAAAATATGTAAAGATAACTAATTGAAGCTATTGTAGCTGTCATCAGATAGCCTGAACAGTTGCGACAAACCATAAATTCATCTGATATTGCTGTGTTTTACCCTGAACACTTATGTCTAGGGTTAGGACACACTTTGTCTGACACAATTGAAGTACATATGTATCATTTGTTATTTGAAACATAATCATAAGCACTACGACTAGCATTATTTCTGGTCCAGACTGGAACCCGAGTAGAGCCAATGACATTCCTTAAGCTAGCTATTATAGCTTCATTACATGACAGAATCTAAAGTCCCTGTCAGGATTCGTATTCACAGTGGTAAGGGGCTAGTGGTTTGAAGTCAACAACCATAACCACTCTGCCAGAGATGTCCCCTGATAAAAACTTCACACATTGATAGAGACCATTTTGAAGAATTACAGTGCCAGAGAATCACTACTTTACCTTGTTTGAATTTTTTAATTAGAATTTTTTTTTTACGAAAAAAGAAACAGAGGTATTCACTATTGTTGCAGTCATGGCAGTGTTCCTGTTGTTGTCCGCAAACTTACAACTTGATCATAACATTGCTAAGATCCTGCTGTATTGTCCTCATACTTTGCCACAAAATGAGCCGTGTCACGACAAAACCAACATAATGGGTTTGCGACCAGCATGGATCCAGACCAGCCTGCGCATCCGCGCAGTCTGATCAGGATCCATGCTGTGCGCATTCAGTTTCTCTACTTGTAATAGGGTTTGTAAGCGAACAGCATGGATCCTGATCAGACTGCGCTAATGTGCAGGCTGGTCTGGATCCATGCTGGTCGCAAACCCATTATGTTGGTTTTGTCGTGACACGGCTCAAATATCTTTGGGCAGGGCCTTGAAGTAGACTAGACAAAAGTTGACCTTCATTCATAAATGATCCTGACCTTCAAAGTCAAATGTCCAAATTTTAATTTATTTTGCTATTAGTGGCTATAACTTTGATAATTTTGAATGGATTTTCTTCAAACTTGAAAACAACAATCTGTTAGGATAGACCTTCAAGCTAATCAGACACAACTTGACCTTCACTCATAATGATCTTGAACTTGAAGGTAAGTTATTGCATTGACCGTCAAGGTCAAATTAATGAAATCCATATAACCAGCTATAACTTTAAATGACATTGACCATCCAGGTCGGATGATTGAATTTCACTTACATTTTCTTAACTTAGTCATTTATTTATGGAAATGATTCATAACTTAGTCATTTATATATGGAAATGATTTATACTTAGACAAAACAAGTGTGACTAAAAAGATCAGTTAAACTACAAAAATGTGCATATTACTAACCTATAATTTTATTAATATTATTATTTAAATATTCAAAGTGCTTGATAGCTTAAAAAGGATTTTTCTCTAGGTGAAATGTGCAAATTTCTGTTTTAATGATTTTGCATTAAACTTTGGTTGCTACAAACCACTGAATGTATTCAAACTGGAACCAGTCATACTGGTTATAACATAAAAATCTTACACCAGCTGTCAGTACAGATCTGAACATCTAGCTTAAGCATAATTGTTTTCGGCAATATGCTCTGCAGAGTTTTCTGTAAACAGTTACCCGTGAGCTAGAAATTCCCTTTAAAGCCAGGGGTGTAAGCAAGGTTTTTTAGCACCCGCGCAAACAGTAGATTATCCTGTCTGATATGCAAGAAATTTTTGTGACATGTTTACCAATACCTCTAGCATGGATAATTCAGATCTGATAAGGAAAAAAATACTCTTAATTTGAGACTATCTAGCAAGCAGTTAGCATCTAGGACAAATACTGATAAATATAAAGTATATAAAATGTCTAAGTATACTTATATTATAAGTTTTATTCTGGTGCAAGCCAGAAATGATATCTAAGTGTATCTTCCTTTTTCACTCCAGTTATGGTTGAAACTTGCCATATGACTTCTCCAGTGTCAGTTTCATTATAAACCCACTATGATCCCGCCCCCCCTAAAGATAGTAAACAGTAAAATAACTTACTTAACATTAATATATTAATTATTGATAAAATTAATTTTTGTACAACTGTTTTGCTGATTTGTGTTTTGATATATATGAAAGAATCTGGGTATTTATTTAATATTTGGTATTCGACTGGTATGTAAGTACCTGGCAGAAACGAATATAAAAGAACATTTCGAAGAGAAGATGTGCATCTTTTTCCAAGCTGGAAATATGGTATTTCCAGGTTATGTTTCTTTATTACATACTTATAAATAAAATGATGAGAAATATTGATGAAATTAAATGCTTATTTTCACTTTCCTTATTTTCACTGCAAAAAAAATATTTTTCATTGCAGTGAAACATATTTTCACCGGTGTCTTGCCAGACTAATTTCTGTTATATTCAGTCGAGTTAGTCTTTCATATTGTGATGTCAAAAAAGAGAAATGCATATAATAAACAAGTAAATTTAAGTATTTTCTATAAATAGTTTGTAGTATGAAAATTATCATGTTTCACTTGTGGCAACCACCACTCATGAAATATTTATGTTTATTCCACGCAATGAAAATAAATATTGTATTTATAGAAAAAACTTGGCTATCCTCTATTTCTTCAGTTATAATTTATGTTTATTACCTGACTGTAATGACTTGAAAAGTGAAAACTTGATAACAAGTCTAAAGATCATGTTTATGATTGAAACATGTTTTTTGGGGTTATACATTATTTGGAAATATAAAATGTTGAGAACCTAACTATGGTTGTGTTTGAACTTGCCAGGAACTTTGATTTATTGGTGTAGCATTGCTGTAAGGTTATAGTTTGGTGCTTAAAATAAATTTGGTACCCAATCATTCCTGCAATAGTGTATTCTGCAACCAGTGATGCTTGAAAGAATGTGTAGATCTCCTCTGCTAAAACGAAAGATCTTCTAGCATGTAAGTTTATAGGACAGCACAGTGTAGTTAAAAGGCACAGACACTTGGGATGTGGAGCTCGTGTGTGTATTATTTTAGACCTTGAAATATGATATTTTTTTTCAAAACAGCTTATATTATTTTTTTTTACATATATTACCAGTACATGTGCTGGGATTGACAAAGATATATCTTATTTGGATTTTAAAGGCACCCCAAGTGTCTGTGATAAAAGGTATCTATCACAGGGACACAGCCCAGTGTTGGGATAGTGTAAAAAAGTAATTCTAAAAAAATATATATACTGTATATCTAATAAAGTCTATATATTATATATACAGTATATATATATATATTTTTTAGAATTACCTTTTTACACTAGAATTACCTTTTTACAATATCCCAACACTGTGCTGGGTCTGTCACAGTGTGGTATCTATAGGTTTAAAGCACCAGCCTGTTCAAGTATTACCCTATGTAAAATTAATTAATACCCGCTGGTGTTATTTTTTATCACAAAACGTCTGTTGATAATTTCTTAACAGATCATAAGGATAATTTGAACGGATGCAGTTCGTGGCCGAGATGATCGACTCGGTCGAGTTCATTTAGGGCCGAACAAGATGATTTCAATTTACTACTCGGCATTTGTGTAATTCACTCATAGATGGACAGCAACATTAACTATTGTATGTTTTTATTTTAAAAACATAAGGAGTGGTCCATTAGTTACTTCATATTTACTTCATAGTAGATCTATGCAAAATATAAAAATCCAAATTAATTTGTAGAAAATCATGAACATCCGAGCGGCTATTTTAAAGCCAAAACATTGATTAAAATTGTTATTATTTACTCGTAAAAACAGTCAAACTCCTTCGCTTTAACCATTACTTTATTGATGCAATGGAATATTGACAGTATTTAATTTAATTGCAACAGGAAATGTTCTCCACTAAAATAGTCTTACGTTTCTCACGTCTGACATTTTTCACGACCCTCCCGTGAGATTCGTAAGATCTTACATTTTTCACGGGTCTGACGAATCTCACGCTACACCGGTTTCTTATGGTTTTAGGGTTATTAATTTGTGCCCCATTTCTTTAAAATCTTTTTTGATTTTTTTTTTAATCTATATTATGTTCAAAATTTAAACTGATTGTATTAGGAACATACAAAACGATGAAATATTTTAATTTTGATCGAAAAAGACAATTAATTATTTATTGATAAAGTACGAAATGGTAAACACTGATTAACTCGAATATATTGAGTACGAATTGAAATTGTTCGTGTCTCGTGTTGGCGGCTTCGTGTTGGCTGAAAAGGTTTTACTTACACAGAGGTTAGTCAAATTTTACCATAATATAGCTACTTGATAATGTCATAAACAAGATTTACTTGGTAAATTTCCAAGAATACATATTTAGGAATCAGAAAGTATGAATATTTTAAATTTCCTTTATGTTGTTGTTGCAATATTATCGATAGTTGAATTCATTGAAAACGAAAGTAGGAAAGTAGGAACTAGGGTGTGTCGTTGAAAAATCTAACAGTTTTAATAGTTTTGCAGGTCGATAAATCAAAGGTGAAAAACGTCACCCCACCCGCTTTACAACCCTCCTTAGTGAGTCCTACCTCTCAAAACCATATAAACTGCAGTATTTTTCATTTGAAACATTTTTTAATATTTGGTAGATATATGGTTTTAAAGCCACTGACCTCCAGATTGTAAAATAAAGAAAATGAAATAAAATTTCAAGTAACCAGTAGGTTTATTGTATAAATCCATCATTACTGTCACCTTAATTCAAGAAAGAATGTTGACAAAAGCGTTAATATATCGGGTTTTTCTTTTCCATAATCTACTACGTTACTAACGCAGTAGGCAATATAAATAGAAGATAATTCATTTAAGGCGGTCACAACAGTGGTCTGGAAAAATCCGGTATGCCCGGGAGATTACATATCTTCTTAAAACTTGAAATGATTGTAATTATAACTTTTACATATCTTCTTAAAACTTGAAATGATTGTAATTATAACTTTTACATATCTTCTTAAAACTTGAAATGATTGTAATTATAACTTTTACATATCTTCTTAAAACTTGAAATGATTGTAATTATAACTTTTACATATCTTCTTAAAACTTGAAATGGTTGTAATTATAACTTTAACATATCTTCTTAAAACTTGAAATGGTTGTAATTATAACTTTTACATATCTTCTTAAAACTTGAAATGATTGTAATTATAACTTTTACATATCTTCTTAAAACTTGAAATGATTGTAATTATAACTTTTACATATCTTCTTAAAACTTGAAATGATTGTAATTATAACTTTTACATATCTTCTTAAAACTTGAAATGATTGTAATTATAACTTTTACATATCTTCTTAAAACTTGAAATGATTGTAATTATAACTTTTACATATCTTCTTAAAACTTGAAATGATTGTAATTATAACTTTTACATATCTTCTTAAAACTTGAAATGATTGTAATTATAACTTTTACATATCTTCTTAAAACTTGAAATGATTGTAATTATAACTTTTACATATCTTCTTAAAACTTGAAATGATTGTAATTATAACTTTTACATATCTTCTTAAAACTTGAAATGATTGTAATTATAACTTTTACATATCTTCTTAAAACTTGAAATGATTGATATTATAACTTTTACATATCTTCTTAAAACTTGAAATGATTGTAATTATAACTTTAATTCCTTTAAGTGTAATCAAAAGTCTACCATTTGGTACCAAGATGTTGAAAATTGGTGAAAAAATGTTGGAGTTATGGAGTTCATAATAAGATGAGTGCTGAAAAATGAGCGGCGAGTTACATACCTTTACTAAATACAATGTATATTTATATCATTTTTTTATATTTTTTGTGGGAAATGAAGGTAATTTAATTAAAACCATATACTAAATATTAAAATTTGTTTCAAATAAAAAATACTGCAGTTGACATGGTTTTGAGAGGTAGGAGGGTTGTAGAGTGGGTGAGGGGGTATGGGGGCAGTGTAGTGACCAATCAACGCACATGACACCTATGGGTTAGACCAAAGGGGTACGGCTCATTGAATGTCCACAAAATTTGTGTTTGATGGTAGAAAACATTTATCCTAAGTCAGAAATGAATTCTAAGTCCATTATAATTAGTCTCGATTTTTTTTTCTATCTACTTGGGAATGTGGCCGGACCAGACTAAGAATATAAGGGAAAAAGATGCGTTTTTTTGACTAAATTTGGGAATTTTTAGGGCTTTTTTTTCGGGTAAAAAAAAGGATATTTTCTCTTTAATAAAGACGCTAACGTTTTCCAACAGTCCGGGTAAAGAACTATAAAGGGGTTTTTATAAAAATTTTGGAATTTAAAAATTTCAGGGGGGGAAAATACACTTGGCCTTGTGGGAATTTTGAAGAGCCATTTTGGGAATTTAAACATTGGAAATTGGGAATTTTATGTCTATTTTCTATTGGGAACAGTACCGTTTTAGGGTAGTAGTGATTATAAAGAAGAAAAAAAAACACTGCAGTTATTTGTACTTCAAGTTTCACACTTCAACAACTGAATCCATCTTAATTTTTGTTTGTTTCAATTTATGAATTCACAATACTGAAAGAACATATAAATATCATTAGTAATAAAAACTATGATATTTTACAAACACATTAACTGTACATTTTCTTGATATTCAAAGCATTTATAAGCTTATTCAGGACAGATTCCAAATTTATAGAGACGAGGTGTTGAATGTTAAAAATCTTGTTTTTGTCAATGAGTTCAATTTTAATGCCACTGATTGAAAATAATTTGTTATTGTTTTTCGTATTGCTGATTCGATGCCGTGTTATTTGTAAAGAAGGATTTCAACATCAGTATAATTCATGTGGCTGTTTGAACTGGTTTTGACTGGATGACTCATTAACCTGACAAACGGGTTTTGTTTTGTGCCATTTCATGTCTTGCGCAGACTTTAGACTCACCCATGGCTCTTTGCTGCCGATTTTCCTGCGCCATTTTCGTGTTTTAGCTCACCTGTCACAAAGTGACAGGGTGAGCTTTTGTGATCGCTTTTCGTCCGGCGTCCGTCCGTCCGTAAACTTTTACTTTAAATGACATATCCTCATAAACCACTAAGCCAATTTCATCCAAACTTCACAGGAATGTTCCTTTGGTGGTCACCTTTAAAAATTGTTCAAAGAATTTAATTCCATGCAGAACTCTGGTTGCCATGGCAACCGAAAGAAAAAACTTTAAATATCTTCTTTTAAAAAACCCTAAGAGCTAGAGCTTAGATATTTGGCATGAAGCATCTTCTAGTGTCTACCAAGTTTGTTAAAAAAAAACCCTGGGGTCAAAATTGGCCCCGCCCCAGGGGTGTCATTGATTTTCCCTATATGCATATAGTAAAAACTTAAAAATTCTTCTTTTAAAGAACCCAAAGAGCTAGAGCTAAAATATTCAGCATGAAACATCTTCTTATGAGTGTGTACCAAGTTTGTTCAAATAAAAGCCCTGGGGTCAAAATTGGCCCCGCCCCAGGGGGTCATTGATTTTCCCTATATGCATATATTAAAAACTTACAAAATCTTCTTTGAAAGAACTCATAGAGCTAGAGCTAAGATATTCAGCATGAAACATCTTCTATTGGGTGTCTACCAAGTTTCTTCAAATAAAAGCCCTGGGGTCAAAATTGGCCCCGCCCCGGGGGTCATTGATTTTCCTTATATGTGTATAGCAAAAACTTAAATAATCTTCTTTGAAAAAACCCAAATAGCTAGAGTTTACTAATAGATATTAGGCATGAAACATCTTCTAGTGAGTGTCTACAAAGTTTGTTCAAATAATAGCCCTGGGGTCAAAATTGGCCCCGCCCGGGGGTCATTGATTGTCCCTATATGCATATAGTAAAAACTTTAAACTTTAAAATTCTTCTTTGTAAAAACCCAAATAGCTAGAGTTTAGATATTAAGCATGAAACATCTTCTAGTAAATGTCTACAAAGTGTTTTCAAATAAAAGCCCTGGGGTCAAAACTGGCCCCGCCCCAGGTATGTCATTGTTTTTAACTATATGTGTGTAGTAAAAACTTAAAAAACTTCTTTTAAAAAACCCAATGAGCTAGAGCTTAGATGTTTAGCATGAAACATCTTCTTATGGATATCTACCAAGTTTGTTCAAATAAAAGCCCTTGGGTGAAAATTGGCCCTGCCGGGGGGAGGGGGGCGGGATGGGGGCAGGTGAGATCATTGTTTTCCATTACATGTGTGTAGTAAAAACTTAACATTGTGAAACATCTTCTAATGAGTGTCTTCCAAGTTTATTCAAATAAAAGCCCTGGGGTTTAAACTGGCCCCGCTCCGGGGGTTATATACAGGTGAGCGACCTCAGGGCCATCATGGCCCTCTTGTTTTTTTTTTAGTGCCAATGGCCCAAAATCGCGTCCTCGGCAGATCTTTGAAAAGGGCATTGTCTTGTGGACCAGTATACCAAGATTGTTCAAATTATAGCTCTGGGGTCAAAATTGGCCCCGTTCCAGGGTTGATGTGTTTTTATCCCCTGCCGAGGATATAGAAATAGTCTCCGTCCGTCCGTCCGTCCGTCTGTCCTTCCGTCCGACATTTTTGTCCGGAGCATATCTCTAAAAGTATTTGAGTTATCAACTTGAAACTTCATAGGTGGATAGACCTCATTGAGAAGGAGTGCAGTGCACAAGAATGATAACTCTACCTTGCATGATTTTTGAGTTATTGCCCTTTGCTATTTTTCAAAATTGATTTTTATCCAGAGCATAACTCCAAAAGCCTATGAGATATTAACATGAAACTTCATAGGTGCATAGATCTCACTCAGGAGGTGTGCAGTGCACAAGAACGATAACTCTACCTTTCATAATTTTTGAGTTATTGCCATTTGTTATTTTTCATACCTAATTTTTCACCTGAGTGGAGCATAACTCAAAAAGTGTTTGAGATATCAACATGAAATGTCATTAGGTGGGATAGATCTTATTGAGGAGGAATGTTGTGCGCAAGAATGATAACTCTTCTTTATACAATTTTTGAGTTATTGCCCTTTGTTTTTTTCATGCTAATTTGTCCAGAGCTTATCTCAAAAAGTACTTGAGGTATCAACTTGAAACCTTAAAGGTGGATGGTCTCATTAAGGAGGAGTGCAGTGCTTAAGAATGATAACTCTAACCTGCATTATTTTTGAGAGTTATTGCCCTTTGTTATTTTTCAAAATTAATTTTTGTCCAGAGCATAACTCAAAAAGCCTTTTGAGATATCAAAATGAAACTTCATAGGTGCATAGATCTCA